TTATACTGATTTTTGGAAAGTCCGGAATTTCTTTAAATCAAAGTGGGGTGTTACATCGGGGATAATTAATTCAAGTTCGAAGCGTAAAGTCGGACAATTAATCGTTCGTTTCAAGATTGATACTCTCGCTTAAATATCTAGCGGTTCGCTCCCAATAGCTCTTCGTAACAAGGGATTGAACATAGATAAGTAAGTTCGAGCATACAACACCGGCCAATAATCCAATCCCAATAACTCTTCGTAACAAGGAAAAGGATATCGACAAGCGTGTACTTCAATCCGAAACCTAAAGACTATTCAGTTACGAAATCGTCTATCTCGAACGAGCCTAGTTCTATGACTCATCCCCTTTCGGTTCTAAAAGTAGCTAATTCAATTAGATGGTGTTTAATCAACTAATCATGTAGAATCAACAAATCCTAACTCAACAAATCAATATCCAATCGTTTCAATCTCAAAATCAAAGTGTCACTCTTCGATTATATCAATAAATTAAACTAAGTGTCACTCTTAGGTTATATCAAATTAAGCAAGAATTCATCAATTCCTAACACAATCAACTCGCACAAGAACGAACAAATTAAAGCCCGACAATTACGAGTTAAACAAGAACAATCATCCCCTATCCCTAGCAATCGAAATTAGCTACGCAAAATAAACTCAACACAATCAATCATTTCTCCCAATTCAACCATTTTCATGAATTAAACAAGAAGAAAAACTTACAATCAATCTCAATCCAAGTGTTGAATCCAAAATACAAGTTTAATCTAAAAAATTAAAAAGAAAGAAAAATGGAGAAGAAAGATGGAGAAGAGGAGAAGAGAAGAAGAAGAAGAAGAAGAAGGGAAAGAGAAAGAAAGAAAAGAAGAAAAAAAAATGGAGAAAAGAAGGAGAAGAGAAGAAGAATATGAAGGAAAGTGAAGGGGGGAGGCGATTTTCGGACCTAGGGTTCCTCCCCCTTCAAGCTGGAAGTGAAAGAATGGAGAAGAAAACGAGTTTTGGGGTTTTTATACCATTTTGGGACTTGCAGGGGGCCTTAGCGCCGCTAAGGTGGGTTAGCGGCGCTAAGGAATGAAAGTTGGTTTCCTCTGGCGTCGCTAACATTTCATAGCGCCGCTAAGGCTAGGCTTAGCGCCGCTAAGGTGTCTGGGCAGCGCAACTTTGCGTTTTTTGCTTGTTTTGGCTCGTTCGAACTCGGAATTGAGTTCCATTTTTTCTTACACGGCGCTAACGAACTTCTCTATTTAATTATGCTTGCATGATAAGCTTTTGTGTAATATCCCAAGATATTATCAGTATAAGTTACGTTTAATTCCGATATAGTAACGTTATCGTGTATTATTTTTGGAATTAATTAAGTTCAGTCGGATTACCGAAATCTATTTTCGGCGTACTGTTTACGTCCGAAATAATTTTGGTAATTAAGTATTATGTTTAATTTAACAATTAAACATCAATTGAGTGATTAATTAGGGATTAATCACATATAAGCCCTAATTAGCCGTGGACTTAAGGAAATTTGGTCCAAAATTGTGACAATTGCCATGGGTTCTTCATGCTTAAGGAAGAAGTTCTTTCACCAATAAAATGAAGCAACTTGTCAAGTAAATAAGCCCCTTAGTCATCACAAGTTAAGGGAGAAGTTAGCAAGTGTCATTAGCCTAACAAGGCCACGCAAGGCCATCGTCACCACACCACCCCTCACGGCCATGTATAAAAGGATGTACTTGGTCCAAATTTTGCCACTTTTTCTTAAGCATCGTTCAGCAAACCTTAACCCTTCTACAGCAGCAAGATCATCCATCACTTTCCTTAAGTAATTTTCCCTAAGTTCGTAGCAATCGCACGGCGAAGACGAGAGGATACCGCACGGCGAGCGCAAGGCCTTAAGTGCACTTTGTTTCGTTTTCCGTCGAGCGTTCCAGGAGGTAATTCCTTTTTCAGTTAATATTCAGAGTCATAAGGTCATATTAAGTTGAAGTGTTTGGATAAATTGTCGGAATTTTAGAGTAAAACCGTGCCTAAGTTCATGTATGTGTAAGTGATTGTAACACCGAACAATCTTTGCTTCTTCTCGGCAACTTTCGAACCAAAGTCATTTATATGATCAGTTTAGGTTATTGTTAGTTCAGTACGATCAGATTGTCGAGGCAAAATGAAGTATGGGCAATGAAATGGCCCCCAGCCGTCGCTTATGTCTATCGCACGGCCTCGGGTGGCCGTGAGCCATGTCTTTCTATTTTTAGTAGAATTCATGTTTTAGCCGTGTGATTGTACTTTAAATTGCCTCATGTTAATGTTCTGGTCAAGTTGTTCAGTAGTGGTCGAGTAGAGAGGAAGATCGGTCGAGAGACGGCACGTAGCCGTCGGCGGGCACGAGCGTCCGTCACGGCCATTTTTGTGTTCAGTATGCATAACCAGAGTCTAAGTGATGAATTCAGTTATATTAAGTTCAGATAAGGTAAGTCAGTTAAGGTACTTGGT